TCCCCCCCCCCCCCCCCCCGCCTCCTCAAATCGAGTCGTTTTGATGCGGTTCCCTTTGATAAACAGCTAGCTTGTGAATCATAAGAAACTCGAGGGGCTGAACTACTGAAGCTAGCTCCTGCTGCCTCGTAAATCTTCATGACTGAAACAATAGGTTTAGACGAGGCTGGTGATCGGTCCTGTGGAGTGAACTCGCGTCGCTCGCATACCAAGCCATTTCATGTTTTGGATTTCGGGTTTGCATTAAGTTAGTCTTGTCGTATCACCACTGGCATATGTTAAAACCGATTTGTTGCCTCGTCCACAGCGGACCTCTTCCCTATCGACCTATTTTTATGGCATTTCGGGAATGAGTTCCTACCTCTCTGGTAACAACAGATTGGCAGTGTTTGTCCACGTTACTTCCATTGCTTACATACCATCATTCGACTACAGAGGACCCTGTAAAGGAGTCGAAACGCAGCGGCATATCTGTTTTTTCTTGTGATTTTATGAACTGTTTTGTTTGAATCTAGTTTTTAATCGCACAAAAAGTCAGCTATGTTGCATATCTTCTAACGTCTACTGCGATCGCCATGGCGCTTGCTATGGACCAACATCGTCAGTGGTCGCTGTAGGCGGATGGGTGTCAAGGGCTAATCACCGCGCTCTGGCACATCTGAGCATACTCGCCCATGTCGTTTGCTTCAGGTGGCCCGCTGACTTGGTGAATTACTGTTCACATTATCCTACGGACAGCTTCCACATTTTCGTCCCCATGCCTGTGCTCTCTGGACACGCCAGTCCACGTATGTCTATCGGTCGATTTCGAAGTCGCCAAAACACGTCATTCTGCGCACTCTCCTGCTGTCACACTCGGAATCACTCCACCTCCCGCCACCTGAGTCCACTGTCTGTTGACGGTCTCGCCATCACACACAGGGCAGACAGCACGACACAAGCGGCTGACTCAGCTAGGGCTGTTACTGGTGCTGCTGGCCTGTGTTGTTTCGGTTGCGTTAGCGTATTCTCCGCGTGTGTGTGTATGTGCGTATGTGCTACCGTCTACCTTGAAGACGCTTGCCGACGCGTGCGTCTGTGTGCACTTCTCTGCGCCCGGTGTGGACCAACGAATCGAATTGCGGCTGCTTTGGGCCATGTGGCCAGTCACTCGACCATTCTGCTGAAGCAGAGGGCTCGAACATGTGTTTGCGTGCGTGCAGTGCCCGGCAAAACGAGACGGTTCGAGAAAGAGGAAAGAAACAAAAACAAGACAGAGCAACTCATCATCGGCTGCTGTGCCTGCCCTGACCAGTCGGTCATTCGCCCTCATACGCACACGTGTCTGGTCATTGTAGTGGTAGAGACACCCATGTTGTGTCTGGTGATACGCATTGTGATTGTGGTTGTTTTTCTGCTAACTGCACACAACTGATGCCCGAACTTTTGGAAATCACCACCGATTTTCTCGTCAACAGAGGCGCACGATGACGGGAACTCGACGCATGATTTGTGGACTGTCAATAGACAAATTATAATTACTCGAACGCACCACAGCAATGCTGGTGCAGTTGTGTACGGGGAGGGAGGTATATTTTTTACGATTGGTTGCGTTTATCTCCGCGCGATAGCTTGTTTCTATCGGTTATCATACTCCTCATGAAGCCACTTCCCGGGGAAGGAGCTTCTCGGCTTCTCTGTGTGTTGTAACTGTATTTTCCTCAGCTTAGTTCTCGGTCTGAGCCTCCCAAGCTAGCGTTCACGTCAAAACAAACATCAAAGGTGCACAAGGTCTATTAACGCCCAAAACGAAATCAGGAACAGTTGTACAGCGCTTCGTATATATAGCGTAAGCGGCTATAACTTTCTGGAATTTCTGACGCGTTCTGGAGCTCCATTGGCAACCGGCATTTGGCCAATACTGGGTCATGATTGGCTGTTGGGTCCAGATTGTTGACCAATCAGATCTCGTCTTGATGCCGGACCGGCAAGCGTCCCGAATTTTGGGCCAACCTCGAGCGGGCCAGGCTTCTCGGCCGTAGCAGCGCCTAAAGACGTGCGGTATAGTGGGATCCGCGTGGATTCCTGCCTAACACTATGCAAGGGTTCACTTCAGTTCTGGTCGACAGTAAACGTTATTGTATCCTTTCCAGGGAAATGTCAACTCCTGTGCTGCCGTTGTACACTATTCGATGATTCTAGGAGAATCTTTGTCGCTAGCGCTTCAACTATCTCCAAGTTTACCCAGCTTGACTTATCAGTTCTTCTCCTGTACCTGAGCTCAACAGAGCATAGTCGTAGATCTATGCATCATCATTACCATCATTAGCTTTCCGTGATGTTTATTTACTAAATTCCTAATAATCGCCGTGGTGTTTGTCGCACTGTCTGCTGTTATTGATCCAGATGACATCGCACTGTTGTAGCATGCCTTGGTCACCGATGTGCCGGAGTATAGACACGCACACACACCACTACACATCCATAAAGACCGTATAAAGCAGCCATGATCCCGATGCAAAACTCGTGCAGCACGATTCCTAGTTAATCTCATCTACGAGAAGCCATCTCCAGGAAAACAGTGCCCAGTCACCCATTTTTCCCATTATCTCCTTGGTTGGTCAGTCAACTCACCAGCTCAGTCAACAAACCAATGATAGCAGTCCAGTTACAAGCTAGATTCATTCCATCGCGAAACCGTAGTATTTCTCAGTATTCAGATCGGAATTTACTGACCGGAAGGTCTGTGGTTCGAACCCGACCTCTGCCTCTCGACCTCTCCTGTCTAGACTTGAGCAATCCCAGCCTTCGTTCTTCCTTCTAGTGGCGTGGTAGCTAGGCACCGAAAGGGTGATACAGCTGAGCGATTTTTTCCTCATTTTGTATTTTTGTTGTGCATAACTGAATTCCCCCTAGGGCTCACAGTCGGCGCACCCAATTGACATTATTTCTTGTTGGCTGCCACAATAATCTCTGCTCCTGAAATATCGATATCACTTTGAGTTTCCGCTCTTTGGATGCACTTTCAGTCGTCATGAGAGCATCATTGTTACGCAAACCGTGAAGTGCCTGAGTCTTTTATGCAACCCTGTAAATATGTGCTCGATTCCCAGCTTGAAGTCATCGCGTGATTATTACTTCTAAGTCTCCCCTAGCCAGCACAGAAGTGAAAACCTTTCCAACATTTCAGACTAGTGGTTCAGCTTGTGAATGTCCGAAGAATGCTTCTGTCCCTTCCTTCATATCGAGTATCTTTAACATTAGGTGATGCGCTTCCACGTTGTCCCCTCCCCAGTATCACATAAACCTTATTCAAACCTATCTGTGTTGTGACGTGCGGAATAGCATTCTTCCTTGATGAAAGTAACCCGTGTAGGTGTTGTGTACCATGTGACTGTAACACATAATCGCAGACAAGTGATCTGGTTTATAACTTGACGACCAACAAAGTGGACCTCATTGTGGTGCACTGGTGTGTGTGTGTGTGTGTGTGTATCTTCAGGACCAGTTGTACTATACTGATTGGTGCATATGACACTCGGAAATTTTATCAATGTATGTGGGCCGATGAGAGCTAGTCTTCTGGTCTTCTAGGTTGGGAGCAGCAGCTTATTCCTTTAGAATAGTACTACCTTTGGATTGCCCATTTGACTCCAGTGCTTTGAGGCCAAACTTTCGAGCCACATACTTTCAATGAGAATGCTTGTCGCTCTCCCGCCTAGGTGCCCGTGCACAACAGAATGGAGTCCGTGTTGGCTATTGGCACTGCTGTCAACTTTTGTAGACCATCGGTCTGATTGATGTTGTGTTCACGCCATTGTTCGAATCATTGAGCAATGAACCTCGTTACTATTGCACAGCAAAAGGCGCACTAGCTCTCTAACTTCCCCGTACCCTAGGCTAACTCAGATCCGGAACTATTGATTGTCTTTCGTTCAGCTATAGCACCTTTTCGCCTCGCCACCAGAAAGAAGCACAAGGGCCGGGATACTGCCAGGTTGTCCAGGCTTAGACTGGGGAAATCGGGAGGGGCACAGGTCGGATTCGAACCACAGACCTTCCAGTCGGTAAATCCGTGTTCTAACCACTGAGCCATCACGCACCACAATAACTCATGACGGCAACTACTGCTGGACTACTCCCAACGACGACAGCGTTACTTACCTTCCAGCTAGACGTTTTTGGCACAGGCCTCGTTTAAAAGACAATACTCGCTCTGTTGCTACTCTTGTTTAGTAGTAGTAGTAGTACAAACGATTGCGTCATCACCCCTACACACGGATAGCTCATTGTTGATATTGACATTTCACGATATTCTTTAGTACTTTAGTACTGCTCAGAGATAGTTGATAACCTCCGTTCAAGCCCATTACCGTGCGTCGATTTGCGTCATCACGCACGCACGCACGCACGTACACACCACCCAAGAATGAGAGCGAAAGTGAATTCACGTTCCACGATCCAGCAATGTCCCATTTCAGTAACACAATGTACCGATTGGTGGACATGCTCCGTTTCGCGTAAAATATCGCAATCCTGGTTTGTTGTGACTTACTACTGCGCAAGCGAATCGATTCGTTTAGTGTGTTGGGAGTAGTAGTTGTTGTGTTGCTACAGCAGGTAGCAACACTACGAATCCAACCGTGCGTTTGGTTTACAATCCTGCAGTCACATTAATCTACGGTTGTTCAGTTCAACTGTTGCAGAGCAAGCTGAATGGTTTGGATAGTTTGACCGAAGAGATTCCAGCACTTTGCTACTCAACCGTTTCACCAACACAAAATGGTGCTTTTTCGTTCCATGTCTGCTGATCGCTATTCCCTGTTTCGTTTGCCATCGTTGTCAGTGTTAACACTGATGTTTCTCAGACGTGCAACTACTAGGCTCGTCTTTAAAAGTCCCAAAATAGAAAAGTAAGAAAGGACAGGGAAAGTACCTGGTGCTCACCCAAGACCATCCTGAAGCACCTTCACCTCAAAACGCTCACTCGGACAATCTGAGGGGAAACTGATAGCGCGGTCGCCACTGACATCCTCTATCCGCCGCATTTTTTAACGTCTTCAAGGTGGCTCCACCTGTGTCTCGGAAACCCGATTGTCGACGGAGGCTCGAATCAACAGCACGCTTCCACCAGATACCAGGTTCACCCCATAGTTCGCACCATTCAGGAGGGGGCGCCGGGAACAATAGTAGTCTGGGTGGGTGCGGATTTGCCATTTACAGTTGTACATGTCGAACCACCGTAGGTACATTTTTGGCCACTAAATTGCTGCCTGTAACGAATCCGCTGACACCACTCAACGTCAGCAACTTTTCTGTGCTATTGGTTGAATGCCTAAATGTGCTTCACACCCTTCGCTCGCAACCGCACAGCAACATAGACCGTCTGTAGAACTCGGTAGAAAAGTAGTTTCTCGAGCCTGACACGTGTTGTAGCTCAGGTTTGTATCTGCAAGACGTCAGCAAGGAGATGTACGGCAGTGAAGCATCGGTGTTGAACACTGATGCTATGCTATCAATGATGATGATGATGATGCAATAACTAGCAAAAATGCGCAAGTTCCAATGGTGGGCAGTATGCTCTTGGCTTCGCGAATTCACCACGTGACTATTGGATGAAACATTCCGTTGAAAGCGGCAAGCCTTTTGTTTCTGGTACCTCCCACACACATAACGAAACCCCCCTATTGACATGATGTTCAGCTGCGGTGTTTTTTTATTACATTCCGCCGTCAGCGAAGTGAGCCGGGCCCCAAAACGATTGGTTTCGCGCCAGATACGCAACGGCAAATAGGAACACCACATGCGGGTACATAACTTGATTTGGTTTAGTTGGTATCCTACACAATTGCAATAGGACTTGAACTTATCAGAGCTAGAAAAGAGAGCGAAGCGTTGTTCACTGAGTTCAGAACAACCATAAGTGTTTTTTTAATACATATTCCTCAGACACCAATCACATTACGTGGCTCTTCAACGAGTTTGAGTAGGTAGCACCCAGTTGATAGTATCTGACTACAGTTGCGCGGCCTTCTCATGCTAGTCGAATATCCTAGTTGAGGTGAAAAAATGCACTCTCATCCTGAGGAATGTCGTTAAAAGCACACAAAATAAAATTTCTGGTTGAGCTCTGAGCAGTGAGGCGTTCTAAAATCGTCT